TAGTGCGGTTGGGTGCAGTTCCACGTACATCCATACTGCTGGTCTATACTAAGAAGTATACTTAAAAATACAAATTACTCACAGTTAACATCCACAACAATGGTGCGGTTGGGTGCAGTTCCTATTCCATTGAATGCAGTACAGCGATATTTCCCAGTAGAACTTCTGTTGTTGTCAAGTACAAACTGCTCTCCAGTAAACAGCACATTGCTGTCACTGCCATTATCAAGCTCTCTGGTCCAGGTGATGTTTGGTGGAGATTCACCAATTGCGATACATTCTAATGTAATACTGGGACCACCTTCAACAACATCTTGATCCTCACTGACACTGGTGAATTCTGGTGGATCTGTAGAAAGAAATTAATAATTTAGTGAATTTTGTAATCAAAATGAATATATTTCCTCAAGTAGTTTGCAGTATTGATCCCAAATAATATTTGTTTGTTCTATCAGATATTATTTACCTTAATTTATTTATTAAAAAGTCTAGCACTAATGTAATTCTAGTGGAGCTGCCATATTTGCATTGAAATATCCTCTTTTTAGTCAAACTAAATTTGTGCGTTTGCAAGACCATGTGATTTTCGCCACGACTTTGAACCGCTCGCACTCGTCGCTTTCTTGTTTTGCTGGACCCTGGGTTCTTTTTCTATCCTAAAACTACTCTTTCATTCTTAATTCTCATTGAAATGTACAAAGAAGAGTTAATCCTTGTAATTATTACATAACTTTATTAATCTAAGCGAAAAGAAGCAGCTTTTGCCCTACCGCACTTAACGGGGAGTCCATATCTGTCATCTAATTGTTAAATAGACAACTATGAATAAGCCAATTAATACAATACGCTGATTGTATGGCTCCTGTGTATACTAAATATACTTAGTTGAGTTACAGGTGATGTTTAATCCTTTAGGTAAGAGGAAATATGTCCCAAGAGTATTCTTGATACATTTTCTCACATAATGTAATTCTAAAAGGTGAAAACTGAGCGTGATTTGTACTTACACTGCACTGAAATCGTCACTACACTAGGATTCAGCTTGGTGCCGCCACTTAGGACAACCTCAAACTCATATTTCTTATTGTCGACTGTTCTGTTAGCCCCAAGGATCGTAATGGAGGTATGGGTACTTGTTACATTTACTTGTACTCGACCAGTGTAGTCGCCTACCAAGTCCTCTGGTGTCTGGCCAAACGCGCCAACCTCAAAAATCCGGATTGTGGGAGA